CCATACAGACTTAGCCTCCGATGAGGAAGAAATAGAGGATGATGAAGAAATTAGCTTACATTTAACATCGATTCCAAAAAAATACTCTATTTCTGTAGATGAAAGTGAAAGTAAAACAAAACCAGAAAATAGGGCTGGAGATTATGTTGAAACATCCACCAACTCCAAGGAGAGTACAAAAAAGGTATACGGGCCTGCAGTGGTACGGCGTGAATTGTTAGACGGCGATGATCTAGTTACTCCAGCACAAGACTCCCTAAAGCCACAAGGTGGAATGCAGTCAACGGAAAGAACCTGCGGTATTGCGGACACTGAAGCGGAGAGTGCGAAAAAAAAGCGAAGGCAACGGCAACGACAACGACAAAAACGGCTAGAAAGTGATATAGACGAGCTGGAGGAACACGAATCCAGTGATAAGTATGCGAAGTGGGTACCACCACCCAATCAAAGTGGTGATGGATACACAGAATTGAATGAAAAATATGGATACTAAACCACGATTATCTGATTGTATAACATTTACAAAATATATTACTTTTCGCAATTCCCCTCATATTACGCTAAAAGAAAAATTATTTAAATACGTATACAAATTTTATTTTCTTCAACAATTTCACAAGGAACTAAAACAAGTTAACTGCCTTTTGGTCGTGCCAGTTCAATAATCCTAGGTGATGCCTTGGCTTTGAGTGCAGCCGGAGAGATTGCGAATGGATTTTCCCGAATATGAGCATTGTCAAATTCCTTTGGTTCTGCTAACTCCTTGATGCGTGCAGTAGCGCGCGCTTTCAGTGCATTCGGTGATATTGAGAAAGGATTCTCCTTGAGGTCTGATTCGGCTACACCTTTCTCGCGGGCAGTAGCCAACTCTTTAGTACGTTTTGTAGCTGGGGATATAATTTGTAAAACAATAATTGTTTTAATTTTATAAACAATGTTTTGAGGAAATCAAAGTACCTTTATGCGTTAAAGCAGCAGGATTAACCGGTATGGGCAAACTTTGAATAATCGCAGACTCATCAAACATTTTTGGTTGCGCGATTTTCAGTATTCGTTCCGTGGGCTTGTAAAATTTCATTCCTGGAGTAAGCAACCAAGGTTCTTTTGTTGGTTCTTCACGGGTTTTCGGTAGTGCCAGCAGTTTAATTCGGCCCATCTCTTCAGGTTTCTTTTTTTTAACTGGCTGTAAAATGTAAAACAAATTTGTGGGCATACAAATTTAGGAATACAATTAATTTTTGTAATAAAGGAATTCCTATGCATGTTACTAGTTTAGGCTGTTTGGGTTCTTTTTTAGGCTTCGCCAATTTTTGAAGATATTTCGTGTGATTCTTCCATTCAGTGTCATCCCATTTATGTATTGGAATTCTGTAAAACAATTTTTTTAATTTTATTTTAAGTGTAATAAATTATTAATTAGATCATATTTTACTTTTTCTGAGGCGGTTGTATATTACTCAAGCGACTATACACAGAAAACAGGCTTAGACGTATTAAACGATTTATCCCCAATATTCTTAAAGGTTCAAAAAAATCCTTCACTCTATTCTTGAACAAAAGCAGCTTTCTGCGCCAACACGCATACAAATAATTACGATTACCAAAAATAAATGTAATTCTTCTATCTTACCGCACACCCGGCAGGGCTAATTGTTCAGTGCGTGTTCGCATGGGTGTTTCTCGCACAAATTCAATTGGCTTTTTATATTTACATGGACATTTTGGTATGAATTCTCCCCTCAAGTGCCTTGTCCGCTGAGCCATTCGCAGTATTCGCTTGCGTTTCGTGAACATATTTTTGTGGCGCTCCACTAGTCGTTGCCAACTCTTGCTTATACCCGGCAAAAAACAACTTATGTTTTCGGGCAGTTTATCAAATGTAGGACAACATTTTGTACTCTTTGAAACCTTATGCATCTTAGTTTTTTTATATGAAGTATTTTTATATATTTTGCACTAAAAATTTTGTTTCGTGTTTCACAACTTATTTATGTATGTATTTTGAAAAAAGAAACCAAAAATTCTATTGTAGACTTTCAAGAGCATTGAAACTGAAACAAGTGAAAAAGTGACTCAAGTGAAACTAATTTCGTCCACTGAGTCTGAGTCAAAGTGCATTTTTTTTTGCAACAGTAGTGAGTTAATTTGTCTTGTGCAGAAATCAAATTCCATAATTACTTTCGGTAATTAGTCAGTGCATTTCAAATCTTTGTGATACGATGAAAAATGCATTGGCCCTTTGCCAGTAGGCTTATATGAACATGGAATAAGAACTCTCATTTAACTTAGGTATAACTTTTTATTAAATAAAAATGTTAACTTAAAATTGATTTATATCGCATGCAATAATTTGCACTTTAATTAAAAGCAAAAAAAAAAAAACAATTAACTCCGATATAGACCAGTATCATAGGTCCTCGGCTTAGCTAGGGTGCGTTCAGAAATGCATCAAGCCAAAGCATCAGTCTCTTTTACTTCTAAACTATAGCTGATGGAAATGCCCTATTTACGCAACTAAGTTCCAATTAGGCAATGAACCGTGGTTGCGCATATTGGACATTTCCATCAATTATAGTTTAGAAATAAATACGTCTGATGCTTTGGCTTGATGCATTTCTGAACACACCCCTAGTTCCCTCAGATGGGGCGTAATCCTTGCCCGCAATGCTCTCGGCGACACTTTAAATACACGTGTGTGTTTGTCAAGGAATTCCCTGGGCTCTGCTAGTTCCATTATCCTTCGCGAAACCTTAGCTTTTAGTGCACTGGGATTTATTTTGAATGGAACTTCCTTAACGTCTGGTTTGTGGTGATAAATTGGTGGCGAGGTTCTTTAATACGTTCAGTGGCTGAAAGAATAGAGGGTGTTAGTTTTTATTCTATTTTAATTTTTCCATAATTGCAAGCAAAGTATTACGACCTTTTTTTGGATTAAATTTGAGCGAATATGCATTTCAAGTTTTATAATTGGAAGTTTTTCTAACATATACGGGTCTCATATGTAGCGAAGCGTGTTCGCGGTAGGATCCTGAAAATTTAACGGTTACCCTATAAACTGAACGGCCACAGTTTAAGTTATTCATATTTCTTAAAGTCCAATTAGTTATACTACTTAGGTGTAAGTTATTTATTCAAGGCAGTTAGCAACCAAGAAATTTAACAAAGCTTTTGCAATTCAATAGTAAACAATTTTTTTTAACAAAGTTTTCGATTACTTTTTAAATTACTTGGAGGAAATCCTTTGAATTGAATTGAAAAAATTAATTACATTTTCAATTTCTTTCAAAGGAATTGGAGAACGAGATAGCACGTAATTTATTCCAATTACAATATGAAAATCCTTGTAATGGAATTAAAAAAATAAAACAATTACATGTGAAATTATTTCCAAGGAATTGAGAAAGTAATCAATTCCTTTGCTGTGAACTGAAAGAATTTATTGAATTGAGGAATGTAATTGGATTTACCCAGCTCTGTCTACACTTAATATTGATCAACGAAAAATCACTAAATTAATAATACTTTT